AAGAAACTTTATACACGCTGTTCTTTCGGCGCAATTTTCAAAGATAACGCTGCAATAAACTGTATTATTTGTCGATACAAAAAAAATTCATTTCCGTCAACTTTGACATGTCACATACTTTGTTAGCTACTAAATAAAACTGGGTACTTGTGGGTTATCGGGACACATCGCTTTAAAAATAGGTTGCAAGATTATTTACCGCACGTCCATTTCACTCTATCACTGAAATATAGTTTCATAACAACCTAACCTAACCTAACCTATTTTTAAAGCGATGTGTCCCGATAACCCACAAGTACCTAAAACTGGCAGTTTATACAAGATAAACTTACCTAGTGGTTCGTTGGTTTCATGGTTATCGATAGGAACATTAGTTACGAGCGAGAACGGTCGAGTAGACTCCAAATTAGCGAACGCTGCAGAGAATTCATCTGATGACTGCTCCAGCAAGCCACACAGGTTTTGAACAGCGTGAGGCAAGATCGGACCACGGAGTTCCATCGAATGATATTTCTCCATGTCAACCTTGACAACACTCTGCCGAACCTAAAAATAAATTAATAACGTAACTCCAGTTACAAACTCGCTAGCGATTTACTTTGTCCCCGAATGTAACGCTTAATAACATACAGATCTATGCCAGTATAATGAATCAACCTTTAGAGAATAATGCACAGAGTGTGCCATACCAATGACCATTCCCTCTAGCACCATTTTACAAGGTGCCACGATAAATTAAACGAACAAAAACATGTTCATAAGAGCCCGGCAATGGGAGTATCCTGATAAAAGTACAAAAAAAAATTCTTTGGTAAAGAATTTCTTGCCATTTCTATAAACATCAAATGTAGTGCATACCTTCAGCGACTTCAAGGTGGCCCCATGAAAAGCAACAGGAGCCATTAAAGTAGGAGGGACACCTGCCAATGGACCAGTCGTTGCAGTTGAAGACTTGCAGTTCATCAAGCAATTGAACAGAGCCTGTGCCTCGACGCCTTCAACGTAAACGAGGGATTCCGGAGTTCGATCCACTTCCTTCTCCTTGTCCTTCTCAATCTTTGACTTGAAGAAATATATACACATCAATACACACTGCAGACTTTTCACCCTGTATCACCATTCAATATTCAATACGCTGACGATGTACGTAACTTCTGGGAAACAATATTATAGTAGATTGTCCTTTAACTGCAACGCTCTTCAGCGAAGTCTGCTTGGGCAATCAGCTGTGTCTTGTGGTCCCACACATATATATATATACACACACATAACGGGCTTCCTGGGATTTGCAGACATCTGATCCTTGATGAGTACCCAACAAGGTTGTCGAAATGTTGGTATTAGCAACCACCCGATGCAGCCGACTGCCCAAGAAGACATCACTGGACTTAGTCACCGCAAATGCAAAATATCACACATGACACTCCCTTAATCGCCACTTTTTTCTATGAGAATTTTTATTTTTAATTTATTTAATGACAGTTTCAGTAGCTCAGACTATATGGCACTGAATGATACGATGACAGCAAATAATAAATTGGAAAGGATTTGGCAGGAAACAGTTGAATCCTAATTTATGGTACTACCCCTGTATATTGCCTAAAGAGACTGAGTAAAACCACAAAAATACTTCAAGCCAAGATTTGAACCTGGGACCTGCCAAATACAAAGCACGAGTACTAACAACTTGACTGTGAAGTTGTCCGTAGGTTTATACAGCCGTTCAATGAGGCACCTTGTGGTGGTGGGACTCGAGTACCTCAGTGATCCCAAGAGCTACTGGTAGGGCCTCCCTAGCCAGATTGGTCGAGGGGGAGAGGTCAGACTAAGACAGGTACTCTGGTCCTCCAGGTTGGGGGTTGGTCACAAGGCTAATAACCTTGCACCGTAAAAAGGAAGATGTTTCGAAACCTCGATCAGACGGACCTAACAGAGGACCGAATGGAAGACGAGAATTGAGAAGACCGTGGACCGAATACGGACCGGAGAGCCATAGAAGAAGTAGTTCAGTGAGGCGTTCTTCTACAATTTTAGGCTTTAAAGAGTTACTTATAAAATTGATTCCCCATGTATTTGTTAGAGAAAGACATTTCTTCATTACCTGTTTAGAGCTGATTCTGCGAATTTCTTCGGCTGCTACGCCCATGCTTTCCAGCCACTCATCTGTTGACTCATCTTCATCTATCAATTCATCAGCAAACTGTGACGTACCAGTACTGTGCGTCTGTGATTGATCATCAACTACAGAATCCAGTGTTTCGTACCCAGTATCACTTGCACTATCGGAAGACAGTCGCTTGAACGACCGCGTTGATTTTCTGAGCGGCATGGCGTACAGCACATCTGTAAGTGTGACGAGTATTAAAAACACTCGCTACTAGAATGATGCTTTTACGGTTCCAAAGGATAAGACCTCTAAGGTCTTAATACCATGCGTACTCCAGTTCATGCTAACGCACAAGTTTCAATTATGAAGTTATTACAATATCAGTCATCATTATTTGACATGAAATTTTGTACCAACTCAACATTTGCAAAAGGACTGAGGAAAACCACAGAAAACCTTGATCAAGTTGACCAGATGCGAACTGAGTTTTAGCCAGTGGTCTGGCACGTTAAGTTTTAAACTGAACCCGATCTAAATAATATTAGAGATCCGGTCCATACCTCAAAGGGAACACAACCTGTTTCCATTACAAAGACCAACTGGTTTATGGAAATTATGGTATATTTCATACCCGGATGATGAATATACTTTGCGTTAGTAGTGAAATGGTTCAAGAGACTTCACAACATTCTGAATATCTAGACACTTTGCGTTAGTAGTGAAGACTTCACAACATTCTGAATATCTAGACTCTGATAAGAACTATAATTTTACTCTAAGTGAAACTCAAAAGTGTAAAAGTAAAATTACCTTCCTCCTTCAGCATCTGCCGAAAGCCTCTTGTGGTAGGAGTTAGAAGAGCGTGGATATCCGTGAAACCAAGAATGCCTGCAGCTCGGAAGAGACAAGTGAAAGTATTGGCGCAAACGTAGAAATATGGGCACTGCCGAGCACGCGTTAGCTGTAACGTAAAATACAGTGAGGGCACTGTTGTACAAACTGAAAGTACGACAAAAGTGGAGTATCCTAAACTACGTCAGGCCTGGCAAACCAATCACAGATTTTGGGTTAATACAAAGAGGTGAAGCTGGACTGCGAAAAGCAAATCGTAGAAGAAAGTAAATAAAAATTTCAAACTAGCATTAACTCTGTTACATAAATGACAATATCTCCTTACTTGAAACAGAGAACGAAAGCTTTCTCTCCACTCTCGTTGTAGACTATCTTTAAGATTCTGAGATGACAATATTATACTGTTGGCTCCAGAACTCAGACGAGCCGCTGAACGAGGAAACAGCTCGATCCAAGGCAGTGCCGGATGTTGCCACACAAGACAACACTGATGGAAATGAGCGTTAGGACTTGTGTCAAGAGTGTGAGAATTATGAGGGTCCTTTCCTGAATCCAGCCCAATGTTCAAACAACGCACAAAACTGGAACAAAATCAACTTCATAAAGGCTCAAACAGTGTAATGTCTCTATCGATGTGCCTAGTATCATCTAATTTCAACATTTGTGCATTTCTTGAGATTATGTTCAATATCTTTTGAATAACCATTCTGGTCAAAACCAAAGATGTAATATGCGACGACATAAAACAGAAATAACTCATAACAAAGCTCCGCGATTTTAACGCAACCTTAACACCGAAGCAAGTTATCATTTCCGACCATGGCAGAAGCAAATATCACAAACCCCGTAATTCCTGAAGCTTCTTCACATGTACGCAGCTTCTGGTTCCAAGCGAAGGGTTTTCGGGACATGAACCGCACCTTTGTTTTCAGCGACCAATCTATCGGGATGTATGCTTCACCCATCGGACTCTTGTCCTTTTCAACGTGACTAACCTAAGGATAAGAAAAGATATTACATGATAGAGATGTCACACAAGGAAATATCAAACTTCAGGGCACCTTGAAGATAGAGGCAGTATGTTCCTTCACTGCATTGTAAATTTAGTTTGTTGGTGTTAATGTACACCATTTAATCAGAAAATATGAATCATATTCTATTTCGATTTGCTGAGAACCTTTTTGAATTAAATCTAAGCGTACCATAATTAACAGTTACCTCATTACTGTTTCCAGAAAGCTGACTTAACGCACTTGTGAATGAAGTCTGTAAATTCTCAGTCTTTGACCGTGCACTCGTGTCCACGTTGAGCAAGTGGAACAGAGTGTTGTCCGATGATAACTCCAGCTCACCGCATCTGACAGTCCGCACTTCATCATTTCTTGCTCTCTTTTCCTGCTGGCACCTACAAAAATCATTAAATATTACCGGTACCTCACAAGTACGTGATTCTCACACTTGGTACAATCTGAAGAAACTGAAACATGTAACTACGAGACAAAAGTAAAAAGCACGGCAGTGACATAACATAACAATAATTGCCACATATCTTAAGACGATCACTTGTGAGAACCTCAAATCTTAACTTTATTAGTAACCATGAATTTACCTGAAAGGGTTTTTCCTCTTTTCAGACACCACTTCACTCCCAACATTAAAAAAACTTCTCGCCGCGTTCTGTGGTAAATCGGGCTTGTTCATTCGAGCCTGTAATGCTTTTTTCTTCTGCTTCAATCTATGAAGTTTCATAACTTCATCTGGACGTTTCCAGGTCGGAGACAATGTACCGTCTACAAGTTCTGCGTCTATCGGTTGAGCCATTGTGCAAAATCTCTGTTTTTGGTTTCTGAATCAATCAAACGACGATATAAGTATCACCTCAGAATTCAAACTGTACTGAATACATGTCAAAATTAATTAAAATATATGTGTGATGAGATAACACTGAATTGTTTCACCATAGATTTCACATGTGATGATGTACGAACTGTTAGAATTGAATAAAATGTAAGAATAAGCATCACTGCCAAACCTGGAGAATGTGCGAGGTTGATAAACAAACACAGACGTGGAAGCCAAACACTAGGCCCCGTAGACAACTTGGAACAGTCAGCTCACATTTACCAGTTTGTGGGATAAAAACTGGTAATATTTTTAATACTGGTGACCTTGTGTGTTGTTGGTTGCAGGTAAATATTCAACTAAAAGTGTACACAAATGGTTTATCCCACTGAAGTTGAGGCACTATCCATTTCAGAAAATATTAATATTTTCTGTAAGAAAAAGCAGTCTGATTTAAAGTGATCATACATAGAATAAAAGTAAAACAGAATTAATTTCCTGCTTTCAAATGCTACACTAGGGACATAAAACTTTTCTTTTCCTTGTGTCTGAAGGTCACATTAACCCAGCTTCTTAAAGAATAACTAGATTAATACCTATTAAGGAAATACAATTTAAAATCTAATTTGTATCTTCAAAATCAAGCACAATATTTTTATTTTGCAGGGAAAACTGATCATTACAATCAGAGCAATAAGCTCTGACCTGTTCCACAACCTGCTTACTAATATTTCTATGGTATGAATCTGTATCTATAAATATGGCAAAATCTTAGCTCTGCTATGCATATTGAAATCAAAATAGCACACATTTATATGGCAATAATGCAAAAGGATAGGGCTCTTAAATTCCAGAACAAAATCTTACTTAACGAACGTTTTATGTTGTGTACATTAAGAATTGCTAAACCTAACTTAATATCTTTCAAAAATTGGTTAGGGGGAACTCTGTGAAGGATCTGGTAGAACTAAGTAATATAAGGTAATTCGGGTATGAAGGTTTATATCAATTTTGATTACTGTGTCTTTAAAACAATAACACTAATGTTAAATACTAATCATAATTATTATATCTTGAAAATAATGCCACTAATATTATAATTTACGCAAAAGCACACTTTCCGCTCAACGCCGTAATGGTACAACTGTCCAAACATAACCTAAGTCTTGAAACTTCCCAATTACCAACATGATACAGTACAGGACGCAACATTTAGAACTTTTGGGAAACTAACCACACACCAAGCCCTATTCCACTCAATTGTGTCTGCCCACAAATCCTTATAAAACATTATATTCACGTGAAGCAGCCTTTCTGGGCCTAACGTAACACGTCCATTTCTAGTTTTGACGTGTACTGTAACAGCTTATACCAACCTTCGACGTATCCAACATTTCTGATATTCTCACGTTATTTGTATGCAAGTACACCCATTTACAATAATTGAACTATTTTAGGGTGTTTATGTTGAGTTTTCTTCTTTTAATCACTATTTTCACTACAACAAGATTTCAAACGAATTTAAAAATTTGTATCACCTTACCCACAATCCAAAGTGGCACATCGAGATGAACTCACATTTTCCGTACAAGTGCTGCAGTCTCACCAACCAAAACACCTAATTTTGAAAAATGGTAAAAGAGAAATATACCTGAAATTTATTTTAAACCAGTTCAACATGTAACTATATAACACTCATTTTAAACCAGATGTAACTATATAACACTGACACATAAACTCTTACATTGACAATACCAATTGTCCTGATGATGGGGGCAGCAAGAACATCTGGAATGTTGAACTCCTACCAGGCAACATGGTGTTAGAACCCAGAAAACAGGCACCTTCATGAAAGTCTCAACTTGTACTCAATAAGAATGGTGTTCAACATATAACAAGGAGGCTGTACAATGTCCAAAGTAATGGTCAAGCTGTTCCTTTTTATAACATTCATATAAAACTCAATTTCAACATATTCAAATTGCTTCTACGGCTTCGGACAAAATGTTGCTGTTTTAACGATCATGTAGAAAGGGGATTCGAAGCCTCCTTTTACAGGCCCACCAGTTGGATTCTAACTCTGGCGTGGTTCTGACAGTAGCAACATTCTACAACAGCACACGGCAAACCAGACTGTGCATGAACCACGACACATAGCCAATAGTTTGTAAAGTATATAAAGACTGCCATCCACCACCGGCACACCATTAGTGCCCAGATGAATAACAGCAGCGTTCTGTGAGGTGAATAAAAAAAGTTGCCAAACAGAATATCAATGAGGCTTACAGTGGAAATGTAATTTCCCTGTGTTGGGGATGAAGGCATTACTTTATACTGAATTGCATTTCTTTATTAATATGATGTGTATGAACAGAATATACAGTTTTTATTATATATTCATAAAATAGCGTAACATGAAACGAGAACTAGATATATACCTCGTATGTTAGAAAGCAACTCTAAGAAGTTAAGAGAAAGATAACAAAGCAGTAATATGCGACAGCATATGCCAGTCAAACAATCCTCTGTGAACATCAGTGTGGCCAACCTGACTAGATAGTCATATACAAAGCAACACATTATTATTTGCAACAAATTGTGAGAAATGATTATCGTCCTATAGTAAAAAGTAACGTGGTTAAAATTTTGCCAACACTTTCCTACACCCAAATGACATAGCACCCTTAGATAATAACATTTTTTGTTCACACTTCAATTTTTGTTACACATCACCACAAAAACATTATCTCGTCTATACAAATAAATGCGTACACATGGATCTAACCTAAAAAAAACCTATAATGGCCTATGACGACATGTGAAAGCAAACAATAGATATATCAGGAAACTGATGCAGCACAATATATGTAGATTTTTCTTTTCTTCTTGGTATTTGGACAGTAAAATGTCAAAAGGAAGTCACTTCTATGATATCATCCATTTAGTGCATGACGAAGTGCTCGAATAAACGTTACAATACGGAAATATGCAGCTTTGTTTTTTGACACTGCGCACGAAGCTGTAGAACCATGGGACGGATGTTTTATTAAAATATTATTAACCCATTATAATCTTTTGTCTGATGATATGGGTGTCAAAAATTCAAAACTGCAAGAATACCGCGAGTTAAGGCCACCTCATCCAAATAAAATAACTATATTTATTATCACATATAAAATGTTTCATTAATTATGTTTATTTGTAAAGTAAAAATTTGTCAGATGTGTTTGTGTATGTGCGCATGTATGTACACGTGTGTATGTTTGTGTGTGATTCTGATAGTGTTCTAAGTGTTCAAGCAACGGCCACGACGGTTCGTTTATATTTTAATGCAATATATCTTTACAAAGCTCTTCCACTCCTTATTTATCTATCGTCCCATTTATTTTTAATGGTAGATATCACAATTTATAACCTCATTTGTTTGCACCCTGCTTCCCCAATCAGAATATATATATGCATTCTCAGAAACAAAGAAAATACATTTTGTCCTAATACATTTCTTTTAAATTTCCAAGCTCTCAGAATATATTTGCATTCTCGGAAACTAAGAAAATACATTTTGTCCTAATACATTTCTTTTAAATTTCCAAGCTCTCAGAATATATTTGCATTCTCGGAAACTAAGAAAATACATTTTGTCCTAATACATTTCTTTTAAATTTCCAAGCTCTCAGAATATATTTGCATTCTCGGAAACTAAGAAAATACATTTTGTCCTAATACATTTCTTTTAAATTTCCAAGCTCTCAGAATATATTTGCATTCTCGGAAACTAAGAAAATACATTTTGTCCTAATACATTTCTTTTAAATTTCCAAGCTCTCAGAATATATTTGCATTCTCGGAAACTAAGAAAATACATTTTGTCCTAATACATTTCTTTTACATTTCCAAGCTCTAACTCGTACACATAAATTGTGTTGATTGTGTGCAGTTCCACGGTTTGTTACGAACGACGCGCCATCTTGGAATGGAATAGCCGCAATTTGATAATGAAAAAGTTTAAGGCAAGTGATGAATAACTCCTCCAAATACCTTATATATAATATAAAAAGCATAACAGCATACATCAAATGTATTATGCACACAAATATCTCATATTTTTTTATTCTATTCATTCATTTATATTGAAAAGAAAAAAAAATGTAACAGAATTCACCACATCCAGTTTTAAACTGCGTTATCCGACATTTTGCATGCGTTACTGTCGATTACGTAACTTTATCTTCCCCCCAAAGAAAACATCTTTGTACAAAAGAATTATTTCAGATATCCAAAAATTACGTACAAATTTTTGTGTTCGATCTTTGTCATCAAGAATTAACGACCTGGATCATTTCCCTTATCATAAAAAAAAAATCATATCCACAAGATAACCTATATATATAACAATTATTTCGTAAATGGTGACAAATTTTGTTTGCCCATAAAATTTCATTCCTAAAAATTAAGTAAAATATTCATCGTAACTAATGTTGTCAGTATGGCAAATTGGTTAAAAGCTTACTAATTCATAATAACCACTAATTAGGCAAAAAAAAAAAATGAGACCCGCTGTTATGGCGTATGAAAAGAAATTATTCTGATGGCGTACCTACGTAAATCTTCCAGCGTACTTTTATTATTTCCTTCATATTACGTATAATTCGTCTCATATTTTTTAAAAAATATATTTATTTTATCTATAATTCTGCTGGTAATATTGTTCCTAAAATATGATCAGTAGCAGTGCATAATATATAAATAGCAAAAAAAATGCTTAATTACTCATAGTGTGGTAATTTTCCTTTAAAGAAATTAAGTAAATCTGTTATTATATTTCTTCGTGTTAACCAGATGCAACTACTTCAGAGATGATCTGCCGTTCACATCAGCTTCTGCTTGGCACATTCGGGACAGATGATGTCATCGGCATCAGTGATGAACCCTCGTCCGACCAGAGACGTCTTGCAGGTAGCGCAGATGAAACAATCATTATGCCAGTGGCGGTCTTCAAAGGAGATAAATCTTGTCCCTCCGATACCTGCAAAAGCGATCAATTAATAATCAACCTCAGAGATAATTCTGTACCAAATTTGCGTAAATGAGAATAGAAGAATGAAATTCTTGTACGTCACAACTTTGAGGAACCAGAACATTATAAGCAATCACGATCACTTGGAACGCTGGCCTTGTAATCCTGGGGTCTCGGGTTCGATTCCCGGCGGCGCCCGAATTTATAACTTGTGTTGGGCAAGGCCGTGGTCTAGGCAACACGGAGTTTTCCTCCGGGGGCTTCCCCGGTTTCTCCGTGGCATCCCAACAATTACTCCATTCACACACAGAAGAAGGCAATGGCAAACCACTTCTGGATCATCTGCCAAGAACGTATATGAACAGGTCCCAGTCCGAGAAAAGGATGGAAGGATCCTGTTCATATGGACCTGTCCTCAGACAGAACGTAGGCGCTTGGGGGGAGGAAACATGTCCGTCGTACCTGTGATGGGCTTGGAGCAGGCGGTGCACCGCTTGGCAAAGAGTTCCCCGAAGCATTCGGCGCAATATGGCTTCTCGTCGCGCGAAGTGAAGCGCTGACCGGCCAGTGACGTATTGCAGTGTGTGCACGTGAAGCACTCGCGATGCCACGGCTCGTTCTTGTAAGTGACACCTCCGCTTGTGATTATCTGTAATCATCCAACAAACAAACAAACAATGACCCCGAAAACAGGCGAGAACTTACGTGCCGATGCCTTCCACCGTCAGCCGTAAGATTAGAAATTAAAATACTGGATCCACAGTCACGATGTGTTTACGGGACGCAGAATCCAAGAAGTTTGTTTGTTAGTTCAGCACGTACTAAGAGAATTATAAAAGTTATGAAGGATAATTAAAATAAGAATTTATGGCTTAAAACCTTGTACACCCACGCACAGCCAGAAAGAGCTTTTATTGTTTTAAATGTTTAAGAACAAGTTAGGAAATCACACCCAATCTATTCTCCAGGTAAGTATTTTTTCCTCTCCCCAATTAGAATAAGTAAAGCTTTCCCACTATACGCCATGTAGGCGCTTGGGGGGAGAGGTGGTATAGCTCCTACTCATTATTGATCTCGGCAATAGATGGGGGTGAGTGGTCAGCATCACGCCCCGGCCGGCTTTACCCCCGGTACGCATTTGTAGAGGAGGCTGGGTGGGCCCAATTAGAATACGTACGATTTTACCAAGTTAACTAATGAAAACGACGGAGTACGGCCACTGTGACTTGGTACCCGCAGATGCTCAACGGGTATCCTACGTACCTAATGAAAAAGAAACAAAAGACTGCCCACCTTGTTGCACTTGACACAGCGGGTAGCAAACTTCTCCTCGTAGCAGGTGGCACAGTAAATCTCTTGCTCGCGAGGGATGAAACTCTTGGTGCCTATGGCAGTTTTGCACACACAGCAGCAGAAGCACTTCTCGTGCCACTGACGAGTCTTGTACTCCATCTTCTTTGTGCCTATTGTACAAACAACACAACAGTTTTTTTTCAGACAAATGTCACACATCTCCAAGGCGACTAACAAAAATTAAAGTTTAAAAGTGGATTTGGGGTTTTATGGGATCTATTGGCGTATTATGATTAATCTGGACCGAGATCCTTTGGTGATGGACCCGTGTGCAAAACACAAGACCGTCCGAGTACATGAAAAGGCGAGGACAGGCGATCCGGGTGGCTGTACCCAATACATTAAGGAATTTATCGAAAATTCCTGGATCCTGGCCCACTGTGTACACGTCATTGCTGACAACTCTTGTGAGTGGCCTTGCGTAGGCTTTTCGGCGTAGTTGAGCTGTCGATTCGTAAACACTAACAGTAGAACGATGACTCATGACACTGTCAAATTACTCCGCGTGAGGACTACTTACATGGGAGGTTGTGTCCGAAACAGCTGTGTTAATGCTTTACGTTTAATAGCAGTTATAAGTAAAGAATGATAATTTGTTAGGATTATGTCACCTACGTAGACAGTTAAATACTTCCCGATTATCTGCCAGATCAGATGTTACTTTCAGACACAAACAAGGCTACAGTATGGCATTACGAGCCAAATATTCATTCAAAAAGGATATGGATTCTTTTTTGTTGAATGCCCGGTCAAATTTATTTTTAACGCTATAAACATTATCACATTCTATGGCAAAATATAAAAACAAATTATAATTTAAAATCCGAAATGTGTCAAATTGTGGGCATATCATAAGATCTGTCAGTATCATCAGACTGATACAGGCCTTATAAGGAATACGTCACACAAATTGGTGATTACGATCTTTACATATTATCATTTCATAATTATTAGCATAGATGAGGTACCACACGACGATGTATTTGCCAAGTAAGACTATTTTATCGATTTGCAACAAAAAAATAAATCTAAACGTGATAAATGCATATTACACTGCTCTGAACCTTGGTGGAACTGACGACAGGTTAGGTTTCCCACAAAGTTTCACAGCTCTGCCAGGAACCGGGTTCAATTTGCGGATTAATAATTGCAATGCAGCCTCGTGCCAGGTGCAAAGAACTGCCAGTCATTCGAACACGCGATGTGGAGGTAACCTGCCAGCGATAATGGAGGTGCTTCTTAGGACAAGCTGAGAGTAGTTTATCGACAATGGCCTCGCGTGTATGACCGACAATTAAATGTTTCTGTCCGAATTTCACTACCATGAATTATATTGTTTCACATTCAGGCCCCGTCTCGTTGTAACGGTCAAAAAAACACGAAGATCGTCTATTACCCAAAGAGTCTCCATGACAACAACGAAGTAGCTAACGCTGTTTAGCAAAATAATCTCTGCTTCTCCTGAGAATCATACGAAACACATAATGAGAGTCTATTAACCCGTCTAAATAATATTTAAGAATTCAGACCGTACCGCGAAGAAAACACCGCACTTCACCATTACAAAGATCAACTGGTTAACGCTGTTTAAGGAAATAATCGCTGTTTACACTGAGAATCATAGTTCGTCTGATTAATATTAAAGAATTCAGTCCGTACCGCGAAGAAAACACCACACTTTACCATTACGAAGATCAACTGGTTAACGCTGTTTAAGGAAATAATCGCTGTTTATTCTGAGAATCATACGAAATACATAAATACATTCTGTGGGCCAAAATTCTGAGTTACTGATTGTTTAAATTAGGTGGTAAATATAATTACCACTAGATTTTAACGGGTTAATTGCTTTAATAAAACGAAGTTATACATATACCGAACGTAAATCGCTAATGAATTTAAACCATCATCTGAAGGTAGAATCAGTTCATCACAGGAATATCGTAAACAAAAGGATTTCACACAAACGCGATGCATCGAGGCAGTCCTTGCCTCATTTATTGAGAAAATTTGCATATTCTAGGCCATATTAGTACTATTTTCTCACATCGTGCAAGACGTTTGCACAACAGGTTTTTAGACACCTAACGTCCAATACAAGTATTTAAATATGCATACGAATGCAAACATTTATACTAACCCATACGTGTAAAAGTTCATTCCATTTCCTTATAAGGTAGGCAACACAACCATTCCTTCTATAAATGGAATAAAATTTTAAAAATACCATTTTCGATGTATTTACAAACATTCAACGTTTGTCATTTACAAAACAACGGGAAAAAATTGTGGATCTTGATTTAACTGAAAACAACAATAAATTATTTTCAACCAACGCCTTCAAATATAACAATTAACGTCCAGTCTAACAAGATACTGAAACATATTTTAGAATTTTTATAATCGTAAAATTTTTTATTGTGGTATTCTGGGGTCTGACGTCATTCGGAAGATCTGGCTGTAAGGAGGAATACAATATTAAAATGGATCTTAGGGAAGCAAAATCAGAGGGTGTTGACTGGATTCATCTGGCTCTGAACGAGGACCGGTAACGGGATATTGTTACCTTATGGCTCCATAAAAGGCGAGGAATGTTACTAGCTAAGCGTACTACTAGATTCTCAAGGGCTCAGATACATGCATTGAGTATCACGTGAGTCCAAGCGCCAGACATGGAAAGTGGCTAAGATTGTAGATAATATTAAAGATCAGAATCTTAACCCTACTCGTGATCTCGTCAAAGCCCTCCCCCAAATGTAAATCTTACATAAAATGTAAGAAAATTGCACAATTAATCACTAAATTCATCATTTTAGTGGAAGATAGACACACGTTCGGAATAACAAAAGATTATTAAGAAAAATGCATGTCAGATCACCAAATACTAAAACTGCTTCCTCGTATCTGAGAGCAGGTACTTCTGAACGATTTCTATTTTAATTTAAGACACTTCAAAAGTACCACCAAGTACGTTAGCCCACGATGCCGTAGGTAGGTTGTCATGACGTCACAAGCCAGCTATAACCTTATAAGTCTTGCACTCCGCTGGTGAGTAAGAGACAAGCTTGTCTGCCAACGGGGGGGAGCCTTCGGGTATGAAGAGAAACCAGTTTTATACGTCACGACACGCAAATAAAAAAAAAACAAAGGTGCTGAACATTATACACATTACAAGGAATTATTTACTCTAATTGTAAGACAGAAACTCAACACGAACGCAGAAATATTTATGGCTGTATTATACGTCCTGACGAAGGACGTCATAGCAGGTGCAGAGAGTTCATGTTGAAACGAGAAGTTAAAACTTCTTTCTACCATTCTGTACATATTTAAAGACTGTACGTCCGTTCTTTCGTCTTGTTATCAACGTATTTCATATGATTCTCACTGCACACAGAATTAGAAAGTTCATATTTGAAATAGTGGAGTGTTTACTTTGCGGTACGGACTGAATTCGTAAATATTAAGTAGACGACCTTCAGGGAAACATATGATACATTTTAATATAATCCCATAAATTCTGTGTAAGTAGATATCCTTAAGATATATCGAAATATCGATATGTCGAAGACATACTTGGCTACGATACGTATCGGTTACAAAAGTGACTTCAGTCCTGAAGAGGGAAGCAGTATGTTTCTCCGAAACGCTGGTCTCTACGTACAATCCAGAGGAAGAATATCGTAGTTTTCTGCGACAGATCATCAATGTGACATCTGGCACTTCATCAAAATGTAACAAAATACGTTGCCTTGTTGCTGTAGGTATTTTTACAGTACAAGGCACTTACCGACACAGACGACTGCGAAACTTAACGCTAATTGGCTAATGAACTGCACTCCCCACGTTTAAAAAGCTACTTGGAGGAACCCGACTGGAAACCAGGAGCTTCGTCAAACTGAATTCTGGAGAACATCGGACATTATCACTTAGAAGAACGGACTCTTGTTTACGTAATTTTATATAGTTTCGTGCTCGGGTTCGAATCCCAACTAAGATACACTTCGCTCAAGAAAAATGTCGATTTTTTTTTTTTTTTTTTTTTTTGCATTAGGCCTACACTTTTCCCCTCTGCCGTCTTAAGGCTTGGCTTTTCTGAACTCTGTTACACTCCACTAAGTCACGAAATATGTAAACATAAAAGTAAGTAATTCATAAACGACAGGTAAATATAGTTACCGTTGCATTACGTAAGTCAAGACGCCATATTGTAAACAATCGAATGTGTTGAGAAATACGACAAATATTTCAACATGGCTGAGGACAGAGAGGAATTGAAAAGCGTATTAATACGCAACTATTTCAGGTAAAATTTGTCGTAACATTTCGAAAAATCCACATCACGCGCACACAGAGTCAGCCATTCTTAATTATTTCAAAGCATGTTGAGTCAAACACCGGAATTCAGGTCGAAGTTCAATAAGGGCTTCACAAAGAAGCCCTTAATATCTGCACTGTGTACAGAACCTTATTAAATGATTTTGTATTTGATATGATTCTCAATGTAAACAAGGGTTATTTCCTTAAACAACGTTAACCAGTTGATCTTTGTAATGGTGAGGTGCGTTGTTTTCTTCGCGGTACGGTCTGAATTCTTTAATATTAATCAGACGAACTATGATTCTCAGTGTAAACAGCGATTATTTCCTTAAACAGCGTTAACCGGTTGATCTTTGTAATTGTGAGGCGTTGTGTTTTCTTCGCGGTACGGACTGAATTCTTAAATATTAATCAGACGAATTATGATTCTCACTGTAAACAGCGATTATTTCCTTAATCAGCGTTAACCAGTTGATCTTCAACTACGTCGGACTCCATGCCTCAAAGTTCCTCCCTAAATTGGTTCCCCCTTGTCGACATCAAAATTGCACTAAATGCCACCCTGCCAATTAAAATATAAAAATTCCGACCGTAGATAAGTGTCTGCTCAATTTCTCTAATTGCTCAACTTCTAAAAGCCTTCCTACTGTTCAATGTACCTTTACCAGAAAGACGAACGGGCACTGCCTCTCTCTCTCACAGGACTTTTCCACCTTATGCTCAACTCTCATTCATTGTGGTTCAAAGGTTAAAATGATAACCTCCCGACGCATGCACGAACATATCAGTG